AATTAGTATTGGCACAGGCTGGAGCCCCACAGAGGGAGACTAGGAAGGTCAAAGTTTATTCTGGAGAGGTGACCTTTAAAGCAGTGAATAGATTTCTGTCTCTAAGAGCTTGAGAACCCTTCACTCCTAGGATCTTTTCTTCCAACCAATTCAGTCTTTCCATAGACTGAGGTCTCAAAACACTTTCCAGAGCTTCATGGGGATAATTCCCTTCCAATTTATAAGGAAGGAAATCAGAGACTAAGGGACTCTCCAATGTCTAATATATATATTTTTTGAGATATAGTCTTGCTCAGTCACACTGAATAAACTACTGTGGTGTCATAGATCATAGCCCCTTAAACTCCTGGGCTCAAATGATCCTCTTGCCTCAGCCTCCCAAGTAGCTGGGACTACAGGTGCCCACCACAACACCTGGTTAGTTTTTCTATTTTTAGTAGCCACATGGTCTTGCTTTGCTCAGGCTGGTCTCAAACTCCTGAACTCAGGCAATCCACCCTTGGCCTCCCAGAGCGCTAGGATTACAGTTATGAGCCACCGTACCCAGCCCCAACACCTAATCTTTCAAATTTAAGGATGACCACAAGGTGCCCAACCAAGAATGGACATTTGAATACTCAACACAGAGGAAAGGTTGAACAGCCTCTGCCCGTGGGAAACTTGCAAGTGGGAGATAAGACATGTAAATGTAAAACGAAAAGTAACAAAGTGTTGTGCAAATAATTCAATTCACCAGCTATTTATCCAGGACTTGCTATCTGCAAGGCATTCTATGAGGTGAGGCACGTGGATAGGGGTGGAGAGAGCTAGAACATAAGTAAATGTGTATAGTCCCAGACCTTAAGAATTTATTGTTTAGGCTGGGTGTGGGGGCTCATACCTGTAATTCTAGCACTCTGGGAGGCTGAAGCGGGGAGATTGCCTGAGTTCAGGAGTTCAAGACCAACCTGAGCTAGAGCAAGACCCCGTCTCTAAACAACCAGCCAGGTGTTGTGGTGGTTGCCTGTAGTCCCAGCTACATGGGAGGCTGAAGCAAGAGGATCTCTTGAGCCCAAGAGACTGAGGTTGCTGTGAGCTAAGACACCAAAGCACTTTACCATGGTGAGAAAGTGAGATTCTGCCTCCGAAACAAAAAAAAAAAAAGAAAGAAAGAAAGAAAGAAACTAAGAAAGAAAAGAAAAAGAAAAAGAAAAAAATGAACTCATGGTGTAAACTGGCTGCCATGAAGGGCAGAGTCACAGAAAGAGGAATAGTCTGTGGAATATAATGCCTGGCCCTGTGAAGACAGCCCAGGGGTACAGAAGTGGATCTCTGTCTTGTTGGAATTGAGGATAAATTGGATACGATTTATCTGGAAAAGATTTCTAGAGGAAATGGACAATGCATGAGGCTAGAAAATAGAAGAGACAGAGAAAGATATAAAGAAAGAGAGTAAGGAAAACCTTTTCACATATGTATTCATCTTGGAGACTCAGCTCAGAAGTCACCTCTTCCAGGAAGCCCTTCCAGGCAGAATTAGACACTTCCCTCTCCAGGTTCTTGAACCATCCCTATTAGAGAATGTACCTCACTGCTGTGTACAGTTGATCCTCTGGATCTGCAGTTTCTGCATCTGGATTCAACCAACCACATATCAAAAATATTTGGAAAAAAATTCCCTTTGTACTACACATATACAGACTTTTTTCTTATCATTATTTCCTAAATAATACAATCTAGCAATTATTTACATTGTACTAGGCATTATAAGGAATCTAGAGATAATTTAAAGTATGCAGAACAGAGCTGAGTGTGATGGCTCACATCTGTAATCTGAGCACTTTGAGATGTCAAGGCAAGATGATGATTTGAGAACAGAAGGTTGAGATTAGTCTTCAACATAGCAGGACCCCATCTCTACAAAAAACGAAAATTAGCTTCGTGTGGTGGCTTGCATCTGTAGCCCCAGTTACTCAGGAGACTGAGAAAGGAGGATTGCTTGAGCCTAGGAATTTGAGGTTGCAGTGAGCTAAGATTATGCCATTGCACTTCAGCATGGGAAACAGAGCAAGAATCATCTCTAAAAATAAATTAAATAATTAATAAATAGTCTGGGTGTAGTGGCTCATGCCTGTAATCCTAGCACTCTGGGAGGCCTAGGCAGGTGGATTGCTTGAGCTCAGGAGTTTGAGACCAGCTTAAGCAAGAGCAAGACCCTGTCTCTAAAAAAAAAAATAGCCAGGTGTTGTGACAGGTGCTGATAGTCCCAGCTACTGGGGAGGCTGAAGCAAGAGGCTCACTTAAGCCCAAAAGAGTTCGAGGTTGCTGTGAGCTATGATGATGACAAGGTACTCTACCAGGATGACAGAGTGAGACACTGTCTCAAAAATAAGTAAACAAATAAATAAGAATGAGGATGTATATAGGTTGTATGCAAATATTATGCCATTTTATGTAAGGAGATCTTTGGATTTTGGTATTTGAAAGGGGTCCTAGAACCAATTCCCCATGTGTAGGAAAGACTGTTTCCTTACCTGTTCATTTCAACCCCAGAGACTTACAGAGTACCAATACCTATTAGGTGTTTGACTATACAAGGGCCAAGTACTGTATTCATGGTTAAGCATCTCACACTATTTTTTTTTTTAAGAGACAGAGTCTCACTTTATTGCCCTTGGTAGAGTGCTGTGACATCACAGCTCATAGTAACCTCCAACTCCTGGGCTTAGGCAATTCTCTTGCCTCAGCTTCCCGAGTAGCTGGGACCACAGGTGCCCGCCACAACACCTGGCTACTTTCTTGTTGCAGTTTGGCTGGGACTGGGTTCAAACCCACCACCTTTGGTATATGGGGCCAACGCCCTACCCACTAAGCCACAGGTGCCACCCATTTCACACTATTTTTGCTTACTTTTTATTTTTACTATCTTATTGAAGTATAACTTACAATAAAAATGCACAAATCGTTAAGTATACAGTTCAATAAATTTTTACATATGTTTACACCTGTGTAACCACCACCCAGATCAAGCCTATAGACTGCTGCTGCTTCCAGCACCCAAGGCAATAGGCTGCCTCACTGTGCCAGAGTCACTGTCACTGCGGCTGGAGGAGCTGAGCCAACAGGCTGATGTAGTTGGGGAACACCATCTAGGAAAATTTGAAAGAATTTCAGAGGTCTGGGCTGGAGAAGCAAAATCAGTGCGGCAAGGTCATTATGTGCCTAAAGGACTAATATGCATGAGCAGTTAGATTTGCTCTCTTTGGGGCTGTGGAGAACAGTGACAGGGAGGGGCATTTCAGTAGAGCACAAGAACACTCCTACAACCAGAGTTCACCCACATGGCAGGCAACCCTCCAAGAACTGATAAGTAAGGTCCCCATCAGGCAAGGACAAGGATTGGCAAGCATTTAACAGCAATTATGGGGACGAGATACAGCGTTCAGTTGGAGGTTATTCCTGCCAACTTGGAGCTTCTATGGTTCTGGAGTTCTGTGATAGTGGTAGGATTCAATCAAAAACTTGTGGTTATGATTTATTTTTTTCTCAGAGGATAACATTTTACTTTATTACAAGTAGTGTGCAGGGCCACCATTATCACTATTGAATAAGTACTTGTCATCACCCACAGACTGACTGAGCCAGAGGGACTCCCTTCTCTGGTACTCACAGTCCAGGAATGGATGGAGCAAATGTTGGGGTGCCTCTGTGAGATGGAACCAGCACCTGCCGGAGAAGTTGGTTGACCCCACCTGGTGCCAAATTGTCTTGGGGACACGCCCCTCATGTACCTCCTCAGTCTTTTCAGCTCTGGTCCCTTTGGCAGGCAAGCGAGCATGATGTCATGGCTCCTGTCACCACTAGCACACCTGGGCAGAGGTGACACTCTATGGTCCTGCTTTTTGCCTCGAGGGAGCCATATCCTGGCTCCCTTAGGAGCAGGACAACACTGAACCCACATGCCTGAAGCCACCTGATGAAGGGACAGCCTGCATCACCTGCAGCTCCTTGAAGGTCACCTAGTCTGGAAAGTAAACATCCCCTTACCTAACCCTGCTCAGACATTACCCATTGAAAGGAGTATTTTCCCTTGAACTCTTTTGTTTATTTTTTTAGAGGATTATTTCAGAATGCTTCCCTGGGGTTCTTCGAGGACATCATCTTTCCTTCTCCTCCTCCTTTCCTCTCCCAAATTTGTTAGAAGAGAGATGGAGTCTGCGGGGGACCAATGCCACCCTCCTCCTACCCGCACCTGGCCAGGCAAAGATAAGATGAGGTCGGCTCTCAGGCCCTTCCAAGGAGCTTAGAGTGAAGAAGATGGCAAGCTTCTAGGGTTTTCCTTCTAAAAGGCAATGGGCTTAACCACTTGAGGTTCTAATGAAAATCTGAAAATCACGGATACTCCCCGGAGGAAAACCGTATACGGGAGATTATGCCTTCCATCCGCGGAAGACAGGGCGCCGCCAGACCCTCGAAGTTCACCTGTGAAGACCCTAGGATTAAGGGGCTAGGGGCCCGGGTTTCCTGCCCCGTCAAAGTCCGGGAGTGGCGGGAGGCCCTCCAGCTTCTCAGGAGACACAGGCCGTCTCGGGCGCTCGGTTTGCCCGGCTCTAAAATGGGCGCCCGGCCCCTCGGAGCCCAGGCGGCTGTGCGCAGAGGCTGTGGGAGGGCGAGCCGGATGGGAGGGGGCGGGCTGCGGCGCCGCCGGCGGTTGGTCTCCCGTAGCCGGGGGAGGGCGAGCATGTGGGCTGGGGAAGCCGCGGGAGGCCGGCGCCCCGCACCGCACGGGGAAGGCGCGGGAACCCACGCGCCGCCCGCCGGCCGCACAGGCGTCC